GCTATGGAAATTAACTATATAAATAATATTCCAAGGGGGGAGATGCTTACCTGCTAAGATGGTGGATTCAGTCGTTTTTGTAGTACACATTTTTATATAAATGGAGAGCATGCTAAATAGAAATATTTTGTTCTGTTTATTGAAATAGGACTTCAAGAACCTTTTGGAAATTATCTGATTAGTAAATGTTCTTGTGGGCATTTGAATACAATAAGACCTTGCTTCTTTAAATAGATTAATTAAAGACTTCCTGCTAATTCAGACAGACTATTTTCCCCCCAATTAGTCTAAATTTGTAAGCTAATGTATTTGCTTCCATTAGAAAGAAAACTGGAAAATATGTTTGCCTATTTATCAAATGCTTGAGTTCTTCTTCAGAAAAAGGCATTATAGTAGGTGCTTTGATGGAGACAAAAGAGATGAAGACCCTGAAGTTACTTACAATCCAGTGGCAGAGATTTGAAAGCACCCACCCCCAGGGATAGCATTTCTTCTGCATCTCCCCGCCTCGCCCTCCCGGTCCCCACATATCACACACTGGGCAGCCTTGTTGACTCTCTTCCCAGTCATTAATTCTGCTTCTAACCATCACTGCCCCTCTCCCCAGGTGGGGCTTCGATGGAACCTTTCCATTACAGTTCTTACCGTAGCCCTACATGTTCCTCTCACTCCCCGGCCCCACTGTCATCCTGATCACTTCCCTGTCCCCATGACCAATGGCCTAGCCTGTGTAGCTGCCATTCACCTCTGCTGCGTGTCAGCCCCACACTACTGGTCACACCTTAGCATCCTCAGCTGCTGGCAGATGCTCCGGTATCTCAGGGGTCAGTTCTTCCAGCGCCACGACCCCTGCTTGGCAACCAGCGTCATCTGCATTCCCTGATCTCTATAGACATCTCTAAGCCCATGATCCTTTTTCTGCTTTCATGTCCTTCCTAGATCTGGGGGTAAAAGAGAAGGGAGGGAGTGGAAAGGTGAGTTCATTCAGGCCAGGTCACACCTTCAGCATCTTCAAGGGCCTCTATGGCTGTTCTTCTGCCAGAACTGTCCAGCAAAGTCCTGAGCCTAGACCAGCCCTACCATCTATTGTCCTGAAGGAGCTGCAGGGGACCGAGGGGGACAGCCTGCATAGACTGTGGCCACGTCATGTGGCCCTACCACGTAGCCCATCTGCGGGTTGGCAGCTGTCCGTGGTCTGCTTCCCCTCCGATTCTTCTCAGAGGTGATCCCACACTTCCTCCACACCATCCATCCCCCAGAGCCCCTCACCCCTGAGCTCACTGAGGCCTCAGGAGTGTTTGCTGCAGTCTAGACCCACTTCCGAACCGACCATCTTCCCTTCCCGTGGGTTGAGAAAAGGACGTTTCCCTCCTTCCATTGGAGGCAGCCCCTGCATTCCTATTCCAGATCCATCAGCCCCGGCCCCCCAGGGCGGTGCCTTTGACAGTCTACTCCTTTTCCCTGTGTGTCATTCTCTCCCATCGCTGCTCCCTCAGCCTGCACCCCACGCCCACGTCCCCATCCCTCAGCCATCCTGTCTCCCCTGTTCTTCTGCCCTCCCCTCTGGGCCAGGTGTCCTGACAGTGGCCAGCCTCCCTGGCCCTCACTGACCTTCAGAGGGCACCAAGCCACCCCTCCTGCCCCTCTTCTGCACTGCAGCCCACTGGTCCCTCCTTTTTTTTTTTTTTTTTTTAGACATAATTTTGCTCTTGTTGCTCAGGCTGGAGTGCCATGGCACAATCTCGGCCCACTGCAACCTCCACCTCCCAGGTTCAAGCAATTCTCCTGTCTCAGCCTCCCAATACCTGGGATTACAGGCATGCACCAACAAGCCCAGCTAATTTTGTATTCTTAGTAGAGACAGGGTTTCTCCATGTTGGTCAGGCTGGTCTCGAACTCCAGACCTCAAGTGATCTGTCTGCCTCAGCCTCCCAAAGTGCTGGGAGTACAGGGATGAGCCACCGCACCCGGCCTGGTCCCTCCTTTTTATTGGAGCCACTCACTGGCCTTCCCACCACTCTTCCTACCCTCCTGCCTGGCCAGCCGCACTTGGGCCCCTTCAGGCACTAGTCTACTGTCACCTTCTCCCTGGCAGTGTGGCCTTCCCCAGGGCTCCCAACCCAGCCTGTGCACTTTCCACTCTGTGTTGTCTGGTGAATGTTCTCTCTCTCACTGTTTTTTATTTGTTTGTTTTTTGTTTTTTTCAGTCAGTCTTTCTCTGCTGCCCAGGTTGGAGTGCAGTGGTGCTATCTTGGCTTGCTGCAACCTCCACCTCTCAGGTTCTAGTGATTCTCCTGCCTCAACCTCCCGAGTAGCTGGGATTACAGGTTCACGCCATCATGCACAGCTACTGCTATGTATTTTTAGTAGAGTCAGGGTTTTACTGTGTTGGCCAGGCTGGTCTCAAACTCCTGACCTCAAGTGATCCACCCACTTCGGCCTCCCAAAGTACTGGGATTACAGGCCACCACGCCCAGCCTCTCTCACTGTTTTAATCACCACATGTATGTTTCTCTCAAACCAATGTCTTCAGCTTAGCCCCTTCTTTGAACTGTAGGTTTCTCTGTCTAAATACACTTGGCCTCCTTGTCTGTATGTTCTGCAACCACAGATTCAACCAGCTATAGATTGAAAATATCCAGAAAAAAGAATTCAATGCAGCAATAAAAAATAATGCAAATAGGATGGGCGCCCCTCCACTGCTGTTGTATATGCTGGTATCTCAGGGCACAATTGTACAAGTTGCTTAAGGTCTCACTTGATTGCCCAGGCTGGAGTGTAATGGTGTGATCATAGCTTACTGCAGCCTCGAACTCCTAGGCTCAAGCGATCCTCCTGCCTCAGCTTCCTAAATAGCTGGGACCACAGGCTTGCACCATCACTGTCAGATGATTGATTGAGACAGGGTCTCACTGTGTTACCCAGGCTGGTCTCAAACCCCTGGCCTCAAGCAGCCCTCCCACCTTAGCCTCCTGAAGTGTTGAAATTACAGGCATGACCCACCATGCCTGGCCTGTATCCTGGACTTGAACATCTGCACATTCTGGTATCTGCTGGGGGTCCTGGAACCAGGACTATGTCTGCCATCTCCACGTGGGTGCTCCACAAACACCCCAAACTCAGCATGCTCCAGAGCAAGCCTGCGATGTCCTCTCAGCTCACACACCTTCCCTTTCTTCTTTTTACCTTATCATGTATTTAACCAAACAATGCCAGTTCTGAGAGGCCCTTGATGCTTTACTAGCTCAGACTTCGGCAGTCGCTGCCTGAAGGGAAGCCCCCTGCTTCACTCTGGGCTCCCTGAAATGTGTCTGCCACTCTACTGACATTCATGACTTCCTCCGGAAGTGGATTGTTTCCATGACTGTAGAGATCATGTGTAGCTGCTTTTCTTCTTTCAAATGATTTCCTTAGGATAAATTTCCAGGAGGAAGATTACCAGTCCAAAGGTACAACAGTTGTATCTCTCCCATTAAATATTACTCTTATTTCTCAAAAGAGTTTTTGCCTATTTTGCACCAACAGGAATGTTTGAATGTGCCGTGTCCGCACAGTTTTATCCGGATCAAGTATTAGCTTTCTGACATCGTTTTTCTGATCTTAGTAGGTATCAAGTGTGTTTTTCAGTTCTTTGGTTTACTTATTAATTGAACATTTTTCCTAATATTTTTTGTTAAATTTTTTTTTGCCTATTTATCTATGGACCTTTCAAAGCAACTCTTTCATTTGAATGAGCTTTGTCTGCTGGCGGATAGTGAACCTTTTTGGTCACATTTAGTACAACTAGCTTTTCTCATTCTGATGGAACGTCTTATTTTTCATTCAATAGAAATTTTACCTTTTTCTGTAGTTGAATCTGTCAATATTTTTTTTAAGCGAAACCTTTTAAAACATTGAAATTACCGGTATCTTAAATACCAAGGAGGCAATGTGATGCGATGGCCTACCAGATCTTGGCCTCATGAAGAACAAGTTGAAAAGATGAGTTTAAACGTGCCCAGGAATCAGCGTGAGGCCGAAACGTCCACACCAGCGCCGCGTGTGCAGCCACACACTGTGCACATCCTACCCACGATCATCGTCCCGCCTCCCTGGTATCTGGCCCTAGGCTTCTCCTTAGTTCCCTTTGGGCTTAATCGGGTAGTTCTTTCCTGAGAGCTCGTGCCATGTGCGAGGGATTGACTTGAGATAGAATTGGAGCTTTCATCATGACATCAACTGAATTATTATTTGAGGGCTGATTGAGTTAGTAGAAATCGCCATGAGAAAGACCATCGTTTCGTGTAATTTCACATTCAATTTTGAATCGACAACAAAAGAGTAAACTCTTTTGGCCGGGCGCGGTGGCTCACGCCTGTAATCCCAGTACTTTGGGAGGCCAAGGCGGGTGGATCACGAGGTCAAGAGATCGAGACCATCCTGGTCAAATGGTGAAACCCCGTCTCTACTAAAAATACAAAAAATCAGCTGGGCATGGTGGCACATGCCTGTAATCCCAGCTACTCAGGAGGCTGAGGCAGGAGAATTGCCTGAACCCAGGAGGCGGAGGTTGCGGTGAGCCGAGATTGCGCCATTGCACTCCAGCCTGGGTAACAAGAGTGAAACTCCGTCTCAAAAAAAAAAAAAAAAATAAAAAGAGTGAACTCTTTTAATACATTTGCTAGACCTCGTCATAAGGTCAGTAAACCCTTAGGAAGCATTTTCTTCTCTGCCTATAAGACACATACGCATGGATGCAGAGCCAGGAGAAAGAGCAGTCTCCATACAGACTACTTAGTGAGTATCACCAGTTTCATTTTGAAGCACAATGCATTGGACATAGCCAGGGCTTGCTAATCCATCTTTGCCAAAGAAATATAACACAGATATTGAACATATATCGTGCAGAACTGACATCCTTTAGAAGTACACTTTTGTTTTCTTTTTAGAATATATTTCTGTTTCAGATCTGCATATTTTCCTTGCTAAGGTATTTAACAATATTTTACATTTTCTTTTAGTCTTCACAGAAAAGTACTGTACAGCTAACCATGTGGATAAGCTTCCTGGCCCAAGAGATTGGGTACAGATTCTACAGGATCAAATTAAACTGGCCAGAAGAAGGTTAAAAAGAGGCTCAGGTATGACTAAGGTGCAAAAAAATAATTGCAGAAGCACTTATGAATTCTTAGGCTTTGTAAAGTACAATACTTGACTCTAGGTTATTTCAGTGTCTTTTTTTCTGAAAGAGACACTGTGTATAATATGCTATGATTTGCTCTCTTAAAGTCTCATTCAAGTGAATTTTGAAACTCACCTTCAGACTAAATCGTAAAAATTATGTCAGGCCATTTGCTTTGAGTAGTACAAGTGAAAAAGAGTGCTAATCTCCTTTGTGGTCTGATGCGTCTTATATATGAAAACTGGATCTCTCTTTTGTGGTTTGCTTCTGTTTGCCTACTGATTTTGATTTGTTTGGATCTGCATGACTTTATAAAAGTATGAGTTGTTTAAGGTAATTAAAAAAAAGAAGAGGAAGAGAGAAACTCTTCTACCAGAAACACAACATCAAGTAAAAGGGATTTTAAGGGTGTGTGTGTGTGTGTGTGTGTGTGTGTGTGTGTGTGTACGCATGCATGCGCATGTGCGTGCATGGGTTGTGTGTGGGGGTTGTGGGTTTAAAATTCTGGACTTGGAGATTCTGGGATTATTCTTCCAGGAAAAATGAGGACCAGCTGAATTCTGACTGTTCAGATTTGATCACTGAAGTCTCAGCTTCCCCAAAGTGACAGTGGGGGCCAATTTACTAGTGAAGAATCCCTGTATGTTTGGCTTTCTCCTATCAAATGAGAATAATTATCTCTAGGAGGCCACAAATCTCTAGATACTATTTTTAAATTTCATATAAATTCGCATAGCCATTATGAAAAGCAGTTTGGAGGTTCCTCAAAAATTAAAGATGGCTGAGAGGCTGAGGCAGGAGGATTGCTTGAGCCCAGGAGTTAGAGACCAGCCTGGGCAACATCTCCAGATGTTTTGTGGTGATGGAGACCCCATCTATATACACACACACACAAAAAAAAAAACCTTAAAAGTTAACCAGGCAGGTTGGTACACACCTGTTGTCCCACCTACTTGGGAGGCTAAGATGGGAGGATCGCTTGAGCCCAGGAGTTTAAGGCTGCAGTGAACTCTGATTGGTCACTGCACTGCAGTCTGGGTGACAGAGTGAGACCCTCTTTCTTTAAAGAAAAAGAAAGTGGGGAAATTCTGTAGAAGGTTGTTCTCAGGGACCCAGAAAGACCTTGCTAGCAGTGGATCACGTGACTGAATAAGAAACACAATTTAAATGTTGTTCTGGTGCCTTCCCCATGCTGCATATTTTAGACATAAACACACCTTATTTTCCTTCTATCGTCAGATGCTGAGACTGATTATTATGAGTTCCGGTCTCTGTCCCCACCATCTCACCAGCACACATCCCTCTTCTCCTTCCCACAAGCAGACTGGCCAGGGAACACATCCCCTAACCATGTCACATTTCTATTAATAATTCATATCACAAGTGCCCATTTTCCCCCTGGGCTTGCCCATTTCTACAGGTTGAGACCCAAGCCGTAGCCTGCTCCCCACCCTTCCCCTCCTGGAGGAGCCTCCACTCACGTGGAAGACTGCCCGCTTCTCCCCCTTAGACTTCAGAATATTTGATGTCAGACGTTGTAACTTTTGACCACTGGTCTAGATGATCTGCCCAGATGCTTATGATCGGCGCCTTGGCCCTTCTCTTCTGTGTTCCTAGCAGGTTCTATTAGCAACTGAGAAGTGGAAGGTGGCTGTAAGACACAGCCAACCCTGACATGCAGACCCAAATGATAGCACATCAGCAGTGACCTGCCACATACAGCTTGTCTCCCCATTTTGTCAAATCCTGTTAACACATCATCCTCCTCTTGGGCTCAGAAGTGGGTCCCCAGCAAATTGAAACCAGAGCCACTTGCATTTCCTTCTGTGATGCCAGTAGGAACCGAGAGATCTGGATCAATAATGTGACTTGCTGTCATGCTTTTTGTTTTGACGATTTTCAGTCTAAACGATAATACAAACAGTGTCACATAGATATTGAGCAACTTGAACCTTATTTACCATATCTGGCTCCATTCTTGGAATAAGGTGGAGACTCTGACTCCACAAGCTAATTGGCTGCCACTTAGGGAAGCCTGCACAGCCTCTAGAAAAGAAAAAAAGAAGTGCCCACACAGATTTGAAAGGCTGTTACGCGAATCCACATAGCGATTCATGTGGGGCCCTCATCACATGGAATAATTTTTATTCTGGAACTCCAGTGATTCCTCAATTCCTCTCCTGGTGCGCATTTTTATCATTTTCATTAGATTATTTTCTCGGAGCTGAAATCACAATGTTATTTGTGTTAGGTCTCAGAGTGAAGATGTCACTGCTGTTAAATGTTTATTGGACTTGCTCAATCTTTTCCAAATTTAACAACTTGATTGTCACCAGGGAAGAAAGATTGTGAGCTTATTGTTGCAGATAGATGTTATAATTAAATTTGAATAACACAACAATGCTCTTCCTCCTTCACTCTCGGCCCCTATTCATGCAGCTCGCACGTTCTGATTTATATGTAATCATCTATATAATTTTTTGGTTATATGTGTTCTGTTCTTACTGAAGCACATAATGGCATAGCCCTGTTTTTTCAGAGGGAGGATATCTGAATTACAAAAGGAAGATCAGTTTATACCCTGATCTTCTTTTAAAACTGATCTTGTTATAACTAAATGAAAAGCAATTATACATGTAAAGAAAGTTGCTAAAATATAAAATGAACTAGAACTCGAAGATTTAAGAAATTAACTCATAGGCCAGGCACAGTGGCTCACGCCTGTAATCCCAGCACTTTGGGAGGCTGAGGCGGGCTGATCACCGGAGGTCAGGAATTCAAGACCAGCCTGGCCAACATGGGGAAAACCCATCTCTACAAAAGTACAAAAATTAGTTGAGTATGGTGGCGCACGCCTCTAGTCCCAGCTACTCAGGAGGCTGAGGCGGAAGAATCACTTGAACCCAGGAGATGGAGGTTGCAGTGAGCTGAGACCATGCCATTGCACTCCAGCCTGTGTGACAGAGTGAGGCTCCATCTAAAAAAAAAAAAAAAAGAAAAAGAAGAAAGAAATTAGCTCATAATGATGCACACAGTATGATATGGTATGTTATGTTTGGACTATTCATAGCAAAGAGGTATTAGACATTAACCCAATTCATGTCCTTGGCATTGTTAGTTACTAGCTGTGTTACCTGGAGTGAGTTTCCTAACCTCCGTCCCACTTTCCTCATTTGTTAAGATGGGCATAACAACAGACCCACCTTATAGAGTTTCCTAAGGGTTCAATAGCACATTGTATGTCAAGTGCTCAGCAAGCATTTAATAAATGGTGGAGATTATCATCATCATTATTATTATTATTATTATTACTGAAGGATTCTTAAAATCCTAGGCAATGAGAGAAGCACCCTGAAGACCATCTGTCTTTGCCAACTCATTCAAACCAGTTAGAAGAAAATCATGTCTTCTAAATATATACATAACATATGTTCATTATTTTTCATATATAAAGCAGTTTCTAAAAGCCATAGAACAAAATTTAAAATACCTGAAGCCTTTCATCCAGAGGGAAACACAGTTCACATTCTAGCATGTCCTGAATATTTTCTGTAAACCCGTTTAGTCACACCACGTGTCCTGTGGTTCGACAGAATATTTTTATGTTATGAAGTATTCATCTACGACATCATTTTTAGTGCTGGCTAATTTTCTGCAGCCTAGATGAGTCTTTCGTATTTCGTCCCTTCTCAGTGATTTCTCTTTGTGGTGGATCTAGCAGGTCGGCAGGCAAGGGGTCTTTCGCTAATGCCAGCGAGTGTCCGTCTGAGGACAAGACGTTGGAGGATGAAGGAGACAGGGGAAGCTTACAATGTTTCCAGCCCGAGCTAAGCCCTGATCACGTTTAAAGCAGCAACAATAAAAACAAGTATGTGGTACTAGTTTTCCCTTCTCCCGACTCAGGGTCACAGCGTGGTGCCAAGGCTGACCTCGTTCCGCAGCCTCCCGAGGGCTGCCCACACATATTATGCAGTCAGCAGGGGTCCTCTTGTGGGGACCACAGGCCCTGGGACATGGAGGGCACCATCGAAACTATCCCAGGGACCATAATGTGATTTTTTTCCCCTGTCCCCACCTGTTGGGGGAAACTAACAAGCCCATCCGTTATCAGGAGTCACATGAGCACCTTTTTTTTTGCATTTAACACAAGGGTTTTTTTATGACTGAAGGAGCTACCTTTGGAAAACTCCCAAGGAGATGGATGCATTTATCAGGGACGGGCGAAGGTTTGCATTTCAAAATGTAGAAATGGAGAATCTTTTGAAGATGAAGCAACACCTAGTGCTTCTTCCTGACCACATCGATGCCAGAGTTAGACTGGCAGCTCTAGGATCTGAATCAGTCATTTCCAAAGAAAGGTTCATTCTCAGGATTTCCTCAGCTGCCCCCCAGGAGTGATTCTGGCCATGCCAAGTGCAGTTCTACAACAGGAACTCACTCACACGCCCCCTCGATCACCCTGTTTAAACAATTCACCCATGTGCTGGTTTGATTTTAAGCCTTTGTAAGTAAGTGAAAATACACAGAAATCATCAGTGATCAATAGAATATGGTTCATAAGATCAAACAAAAATTTCAATACAAGAGAGTTGATTTTCTATCACTATCATCAAAAAATATTTTATTCAAATAATGATGTTAACATCTGTAATGTGAACCAACGATAGCTGAAAAGGAAAAAGAATGGCGAAAACTGTTAAGTATACTGGAGTTTTAAAAATTATATCACTGTTTTCAGTGAAATGAATGCACTCCCTGAAACTAATGAGATTTGTGTTTTATGTTTGTAACCAGCAGAGATTGCTGACGGTGATGAAAGACTGGATGGTATTTCTCTCCCACCAACAGGTAAATAAAACGCATTTACATTTTCATCACCCCCTGGAAAATGCAGCCCACAAAAATATTTGCATTGAAAATGGTTTTAACATGAGACGTGCACATGCTTGAGCAAAGTGCTTCTGCCCTGGACCCAAGCGCTGGTCACTGGAGCTTCTCGAGGCCCTGTACTCAGAGATGTTTTTCACATTGTATAGAAAAAGCATGAAACGCTACCTTTTTCTCACACTCTTATTTTCATAAAAATCTCAGAAGAGCAGATCCTAAGAACTAAGCCTCACAACACTTTGCCTCCCCAAACCTTTGGACATTACAAAATATTTTTAACATGAAATGAGATTTCACTTTAAAACAGGGACTGCTGATTTTGTGTCATCAAATTCATGGCTAGTCTGTCCCCTCCCACCTCCTCCAAACAGCCTCAGAGCCTTGAGCAGTCAATCAATGGACACTCAATGAATACTGTGTTTTAACTGAGTGATTTGAACAAGGCCAGCCATCCAGCATGAGTGACACATTCCTAATACCAGGACCAGATCAGCTGAAGACACCCTTCCATGGAAGCGTTTGCTGCCCGCTGTTGTTAAGCCACAGACATAATTCCGGCTTCATATTATTTGACTCTCAAGTAATGCTTCTGACCCTGGCTTCCTACCTGTGTGTGGGTTCATATCTAAGAGCCAGAGGGGTAGGTGTCTGATCCGTGAGCCTTGTGGAGAACAGTTTATTCCCTCCATTGGTCACAGGACTTTACTGACTGCCCTCAAAAGAATACCTGAAGATTCTCTGTCCACAAAACCCAGATACCCCTCCAAAACCCTCTTACTGAAAAATATCAGCCAAATGTTTTTTCGTCTAGATTCGGGGTGGTCTGTTTTAATTAAATTCAGCAAATAGGCCGGGCACGGTGGCCCACTCCTGTAATCCCAGCACTTTGGGAGGCCAAGGCAGGCAGATCACGAGGTCAGGAGTTCAAGACCAGCCTGACCAACATGGCGAAACCCCGTCTCTACTAAAAATACAAAAAATTAGCCAGGTGCGGTGGCACGTGCCTGTAATCCCAGCTACTCAGGAGGCTGAGGCAGGACAATCACTTGAACCCGGGAGGCAGAGGTTGCAGTGAGCCTAGATCACACCACTGCACTCCTGCCTGGGCGACAGGGCAGGACTGCGTCTCAAATATATATATAAATAAATAATTAATAAACTTAGCAAATATTAGTGAAGTCTCTAGGTTGTGTAGGAACTGCAGTAGGCCATGTGTTCCTTGACAGCAGACATCCCAAAATGGCAAGGAACGCCACGTTCACAGGTGTAGGATGGGTATGTGTTAGTGAACTTCAGAGCAACAGGAAAATTCAGCTGTGTAAGTAACACATTGCTTTCTCTGCCACCAAGTAGCTAAGCAACAGATCGATGGACAGATAAATGAAATATGCTGCATAGGGCAAAAAGACCTGCTTGCGTCAAGTTCTTCCTATATATTGCCACCATATAAAAGGAATTTCTCTTCTTATTTGGCTGTGTTTCCACGTTTGTGAATTAAGAGAATTGAAATACGTGATCTCTGTTGTTCCTTCCCAGTTTGTCATTCTCTGAATATCAGGGCACTCCTGTCAGCCTCATTCTTATCACCTGGCCTATTCTCAGCAGATGTATGAAATCCTAATCATAATAGACCTGCCCTTCAAAAGGCCCTTCAGGGGAGCACCATTCAGGGGAGCACCATGCCTTTCTGGCTGTGCTTCCCAAGTACTGCCCCCCACCCTGCCCCGGGCATCTGCGCTGCCCGTCCTCCCTGTGTCATGTGACACAGTGGGCTTTTATTATTTGAAAACCACTCCCCTTGAAGTTTATATTCACCTCCAAGTGGTGAGTACAGAATGCCTTTGTATTTTCCCATCTGAAGATGGAGGTAGAGATCTTTCCGATGAGAAAATTGAGCTCAGAGGGAAAAAAAAATGTCAAGGAATCTGAGAATGAGAAAGAATGTGAGAGATCATCTAGTCCAATCCCTTCTTTTTATCCAGTCCTTTTATTTTACGGGAAAAAAAAGCCTGAGGCCCAGAAACATTAAGTGACTTTCCCAAAGTCTCAGCTGGTTGATGGCCTGGCCGGAACCCGGGTCCCTCGACTCCCAGCCATGATACCACATAGCTTTCTCATACCTAAGCCAAAGTCAGCTTTTCTCTGCATGTTTCTGAGAGATCCTAAGAGATAATGGATGTACCAGTCCCTTTAGGAGTCCACTTTGCCGTCTCAGTCTTCACAATTAAATGTTTGTCATCGGCCCAGTTCACTGCAGCTTAAATTTATTTCTTCCAGCCTTTTCTCAACCTTTACCCAAGGCTGTGAGGTCATAATTAAGAAAACAGTATAACACACCTGCAGGTCTTCTCACTAAACTATTGATACATATTTGATACAAATCACTAAGCAGCATGATAAATAAAAACATTTGTCATTTAGAAAAGGGGAACCCAAGTTGCAGATTGGTGCTCAAACTTTGCAGTAACAAAATTAAAGAATCTGGATAGTCTAGCATGTCTCTTGATTGCCTCCAAAGCAAAATTCCCATTCTGACTGGCTTCTTTGAATGCAGTGCTTCTGCTAACAGGTGCCCTCTGAGAATTCCACCTTTCTTACACATGTGGCTTCATTCTTGAGCTTGAGCTTCATTGGTCAGAACCACAGAAGCGACCGAGGGCTCTGAAACAGACTCTCGTCCCATGTATCCAAGCTAACAGCAGTTAGTTCTTTTCCAGGATTCAACGATGCTTTTATGACTTTTGTAAGGTCTTTTTTCCTCCTTCCAAATTTGTGTATTTGGAGGAAGGCAGGAAAGGGGCTTAAATCCTTAAGTGTCTCTATGAACCGGAAGTGATGAGGGCAGAGTTACAGGCAGAACGTCAGATGACATTTGTCTGGATGCATTACATTTAAGCAATCTCTGTTTGTCAGGTTTTAACAAAAATGAATGCACCATCTATAGTGTGTCTATTTTATATTCCCTTAACCCTATTCACTAAGCCTTTTGGGGCAACTACCAGGATGAGCCCTATGTTGAGTGCTGGTGTACAGATGCCCTCAGACTAGTGTGAGAGGCAGAAAGGATTACATAAATGCCTGAGCACAGATGTGTGGAGAGGGCCTGGGGCTCAAGAAAAGCCACTCAGGAGCTGGGGACAATTCGCATTAAAAAAACAATTATAGAGAAAGTGAAATCAAAACAGTGCTTTCTAAAATTTAAAATAGGGCTTTCAAATTTGAAATGGAGGATGCTCGTCTGGACTTAGCAATGGTCAAAAATGGACATTTTACATGCTTTTCTTTTTAAAAATTAATAAAATGTAAGGAAGAACATTTCAATTGCTTTTACCATCCACAAACAACCATTATTGGATGATTTTTCTCAAATGTTTCTCCATTTTATTTATTTATACGGCAGAGATCAAACATGTAAAAGTTTGTTTCCTAAGCTTTTTTTATTTTTACTTAACTAGCATTTTTCCACTTTATGGTAAATCTTCATATGCATTATTTTAATAGCTGTATGATATTCTGTTTTGCAGGTAAATTATATTTTATTAGGCCATTTTCTATTACTGTGCAATATGTGGAATTTACTCTGATAGTAACACACATTCATGGGTTTTCTCATAAGAAACAATCATTACAGATTTCAAATCTCTACAATTGCTCATGAAGGACAGCTAAAGCCTTGGCTAAAAACTTAGCGGCTTCACTCTGAAACAGCCACTTCCCCAGTCAATTCTTTGCTCGTCCAGAACACCCACCTCCAGCCATGTCACAGAAACGTGTACAACTCTTCCTTAGAGAAGCGGCTCTCCCCCTTCATTTTCTTGTCTCTGTTGTAGGTAATATATTTGACACCAGGAGAGAAAACACGGAGGACACAGAACCAGGTTTCATTGCCTAGACTTTGGTTTTAGTGACACTGTTCAGTGGTATACGTAACTTCCATTTGAATTTCCGAAAAGATCCACGTAGCATTTCAGGTTCCTGCAAAGTGTGGGTGTTCTGTGAAGTTTACCTGTCATGTTGAATCGTTTCCTATACTTTCTTTGTAATGTGTGATAATCAAGCCTCCGATTGGGTGTAAGATTTCTAAAATCATTTTTCGGGTTGATTTCTTACCCTTTAAAAGCCCGGCATATGATTCAGTTAGTTCACTGTCCATTATAAAGAAGTGGTTCTCTCTTCCCTGTTTTCATTCAAAACCTCAATGTGAATATAGAGAGCTTTGAAACATTTATTTTAATGTAAATTGCTTAGATGCAGTATAAAGGAGGATGGCTCTTTCCAGTGCTGAGAGAGCAGTTGTGAAGGCCAAAATTAATTAGACCTTCATCATCTTAAAAGATGAAAAAGTTGTTTTGGGAGACAGGATACCTCTGACCTATGAGATGAAATCATCCATGACATCAGTGCCCCCAAATGGCCATTTGTAACTGAGTAAGTGCAAATGACCTATGAGTCCTTAGGAAAGAAAAGCCTTTTCACCTAAGTTGCATCAACACAATGACAAAATAACTAATGAAAAGGTGAGAAAATCAATCAATTATCTACATGATACCTAACAGCCATTTTAAAAAACAGATGGGTTTAACTGAGTGGTCCAGGGTTTTGGCACCATGTGGCAACTAGCTAAAAATGTACTTAATATTATATCATTTATTTGGTTCCCAGTATACTTGCCCTCTGCTTTATATGAAACTAATATATGAAAATCTGGATTTATTTTTAAAAGGTATCTTGCCATGAAGGCATTTGTTTTATAGAAATATTTGCCTTCAGATTTCTTTCTCTAATAAGATGGTAAATTTAAAATACTATGTTATTTAGAAACAGTGCATTTACACTTCCTTTATTGTATAAAGCAAATTGCATTGAATCTTTGCCACTTGACCCAAAGGCCAGAAATTGGCATGAAAACAATTTGGACTGCCAGTCACCAAACCCAGGCTTCACACCTGCCTACTGGCAGCTCCAGTGCCTTCCCCTAGCCCTGGATTTAGCAAAGCATAGAATGTTAAGAGCTAAAAGTTATTGTAGAGACTACTCAGTCCCACCCCTCGTTCTGCAGGTGGGGACGAATGAGGGTAAGCTGTTGCCAAGGGCCCGTTAACCCCTCAGTGGCCGGGGCCCTGCCTAGAACCCCAGTTTCCTGACTACCCTGTCCAGGGTGGTCACATCACGGTGTCACATCACACTGAAACGCTAAACCTAGAGATAGGAGGGGATGCTCTGGGATAAATCCCTCTTCCACCAAAGACCAGCCGGTCATCAAAGGTGACAGAAGGCATCCCTGTGCTGTGACAAAAAGCTGGCTTTAAGTGTGGCCTTTGGAATTCATCTAACTAGTAGACAAGTTACGTCTCATCTGTGTGTGTCTTATTTTTCTTCTTTTGGGGGCTACAAGGAAGGTTTGGAGAAATTATTCCCACCATACCTTTTCTTTAGCCTTTTTCCATTTCTGGCCAGTAAATAATCCCTTTCCTGAAAACAGTCTCTTTGTTGTATCCAGTGATCTGATGAAGTCTTGCAAACAGCGACTCTTGTGTTTTTTGCAGCATGGGTTTTAAAATCTGTCCTCTGCCTCCCAGAAGGAAATATTACCCAAGGGAAGGGAAAAGATTAATTAGCGACCTTTCACTGTGTTAAAATAGGATGAATAGGTTGCTGGTAAAGGCAGAAACACTAACTTTCCAACTGTGGTCTGTTAGAGCTTCGCTGGGAGCTTCGGAAGCAGGGCCTTCCAAGTCAGGGCCACGGCTCGGAGGGTGGGTGGGCTTGAGGCTTGTTCAACTCAAAGCTATGTGCAATGAATGGCTTCACACATTGGAAATACATATCCAAACTGCAACAGTAAAATCATATTTTGTAAATTAAAATTGTTTACTTATTGTGACTACTGTTCAGACCTTATTCAGAAATCCTTTTTATAGGCTTTCTTAGCAAAAAAAAAAAAAAAAAAAAAATCCATATCTGTGGATGACGTCTCAATCTTCTGTATATATGTTTTATTAATATGTAAATATTTAGATTTTTTAAAATTACTATGTTCTTTAAAAAAGAATTCCACGCGAGCCTAGTTGTCAAGATGGTGTATAACATCGTGTTGTGATATCAGTTCCCAAGATGCTGTTTATGTCCGTTCTGGAAGAACACAATAAATACTTTAATTGAACGTGCGTGCGGATCTTGATTGTGTGCCTAAGTGTTTATGGAGAGAAGTCAATGCTGTTCATTAATTAAAAGGTATTATTAATACTCTGATGATCTCCCACAGAAGTTATATCTCCTGATGAAGTTAATTTTTAAAAAAATGAAGAAACATCTTAGATTGCTACCGGGGTGAGACTGCAGACGCTGGGAAGGCTATGTCTGGCGGTTAGATCAATGGCTACAGCAAGTCCCACAGAAACACTTGAGCGTTAAGTACTGAGATGCTTGAAGCCTAATTTTAAATGAATTAGGTAGCTTTATAATCTTCGCTTAAAAGGTTAAGCCCTGCTTCTATGGAAACAACACATCAGAAGGACGAATCAATCCTCTGCGATGCAGAGCGGCTGCTGCCGCAGAATGGCTCGCTTCCCGTCTCTGAACACAGGGGGGCGCCGCTCCTCGCCGGGCACCTGCCCCCACCTGCTCTGAGCCGGCTGCACCCGCGGGCTGGAATCCGGCTCCATCGGGGCTTCAGTTCAGGGTCTGACTCTGAGGCCCTGCTTTTAGAGGGCCCTGAGACAGCTGTGAGGAGAGGCGGGCGGAGGCGGGCAGGAGCCGCTGCCTAGGAAAGCACCCGCACCTGGGCAGGAAGCCCCAGGGCGAGCTGTTGCAGAAACACGTGGGCTCCAGCCCGCGAGTCTTGCAGGCGTCCACGCTGCTCTGAAGCTGGAGCCTGGTTCCCTCGCCTCTGCCCTGATGCCCCCAGCTTCGTGGGGTCCCTTGGGTCAGGGGCCCATGTCGTATCTTTTGGCCCAAGGCCCCTGGGATGCCCTTGATCCCACAGGCTGGCAGGGGTGGGTGCTTTGTAGGTATCCAACAGCCCAAAGACCTCTCTAACCCAATGGCCAGGGAACCCCATTTGCACACTTGCCTCCGTTGTCACCTCTGGTATTCTCCCCACCCAGCCCCCACTCAGGGATCTGGGGACACAGCTGGTTCCTTTCCCAGCAGCATCCGAGTTCAGCGGCACCATTTACTGAACACCAACTGGCCAGACACTGTGGGTGTTTAGGGCGACTGCTTTCCAGATAAAAGGGAAAAGAGGACGAGAAGTGGGGGCGGGGGCACGTCCTGGCAATGAACTGTCCAGGCTTGCACCGTCCCCAGGGGCTGGGACGGCGTGGGCGGCCGCGGAGCATCCGAAGTGAAAGGTCTTGATCGGATCCGCCTGGCTGAAGCAGGGAGCATTCGCAGGAGGCAGGGCGGGGCTGAAGACAGCGGATCCCGGATCCCGTGAAGAGGATATTGGGAGAGGCCCAAAACCCACTATGCCACACCTGAGAAGAATCAGCTCCGGCTGGAGCAGGGAGAACAAGTCACGGCTGACAGCAGAGATTTCCGGCTGGGGAACCAGGAGGGGTGTCGCGATTTGGAGAAGACAGGTGAGTCACTCCGTTCGTCCGTTCATCCATTCATCCATTCATTCCACAGGTGCTCGTGGTGGGCCCTGCAGCGTTCTGCTGGGTGGGAGTGCAGCGGTGAACCAAAGTCCGTATTCTTGCAGGGCTCACCAAGACACTGTCACAAGAAAAGGGACAGAGGGCAGAACCCTGGGGGGACAGCAGCACACAGGCCTGCCCGTGTTACTGAACCAGAGAGAGAGCTGAAACAGGAGCTTGGTTCCAAGCCTTCAAGCACCATTCATTCCTCATAACTTAGATCTCAGCTACACTTAATCATCAGAGAGGGGTTCGCAACTTCCCCACGCCAGGCTCCACCAAGTCACAGTCTCTTACTCTTCACGTCGCTTGCCTGTCTCTGAAATTATCTTGCTTACGTATGTGTGTGTTTATCACCCATCTTTCACACACTGGAATCTAAGCCTTGTGATGTCAAGCTGTTAAGATTGCAGGCTCTGGTGAAGACACGTTCAGGATGCCCTCTCTCCTCTTTGCCCAGCAGGAGTGGACTAATTAAAGTCGGACCTGAGGTTTTTATTAATATGCAACTGAGTCATTCTGCTGACAGTGACTCGTGGCCTCCTGGTTCTGCCAGTTACAGGAAGTGACTCCCCTTCTCCCATCAGCCCAAACCCGGAGCCTTTATCCCAGAAACCGAGAGTGAGGGGAGGGTCGGGGCTGTTGGGCAGTGGCCGTATTGTGGAAGGGAGCAGGAGCCTTTTCCTGCACTCTTCTTCCCCCTGTATCCCATTTCTTAGATCACTTGGACTCGCCATTTCCCCTAATACTTCCCTACCACTGCGCTTCATAATTGGAGAAATTGTATCAATAGATGGACCAAAGTGATGCTCGTTGCACTCCATGAGAATTTAGTAAACGCTACTGATTCAGAGCAACTTGAATTTACACAGATCAACTCCTATTGTGTTTTGTAACCTCAAACACATAAAATCGATTATCCCCCCTAAAATAAGATATACAGATATGTATATTATTTGTATACATATAAACAAATATGTTTATACATATTTGTTTATATGAAATTAAAAAGAATGTTTAAATGAAAGTTAAAAAAAAAATGTTCTAGCAATGGAGCTTGGCATGGTAGTGCCCCACATACTTTACACACATTGGTATTCCAGATAGACCTGATCGTTAAAGGCCTCTTTAATTGCTTTGTTTTTGGCCATTTTGGACTGTTCACTGAAAAATGGAAAGACGTTTTGAACCTAAACTTTGAAACTAAGCTACTTTATCATTCCTTTACAATGCTTTCCAAAGTGAAGCTGATACAGGCGTGATCAATGAAGGGGTGGCCCGAAACCAGCTGTCTGGACTTCTGTGTGTGCGTGTCCTCCAGCACGGTGCCCAAACATTCGAAACATGGAGTGCCTTCCATGCCAACATGGAGTGAAAATCAGTTTTACAAGGGAAATGTAGTATCCTGAGGTGTTTCGATGAAGCGGTAGCCCAGGTGCATATTCCGTTAGAAAAACTATTTTCTGCTCTACTCTAGCAATGGAGGGAGAAAGAGAATACATCAAAATAGAGGATACTTACTCTGTGTATTACCAAATTAAGTACCCTCCAAAAATGATGTATTTCTAACCACTGGACAGAGAACCACTGGACAGTGACTCAATTAGCAAGACGCAGGCTAAGCCCATCCCACTCTGGTGCTGCACATGGTAACGGTGCCCTGTCCTTCTGGGAAATATTTCGCTAGTGTGAAGCTATGCCACCTCCCCCTGCTGCCTCTCATGGATGCTTCCTAGAACACGGAATGATGGCCACAGGCAGCTTTGACGCTTGTTAACATTTTGTGTTTGTTTCTATCATTATACCATGCGGTGTTCAAGTGAGTTTTTCCTTCCTACCTGCCCCCTTCATATTGCCTGGCAACAATAACCACAGCCCGTTCCTCCCGTGCCTTGCCCAGGGGGATAGGTTCACTAGTCAGGCAGAGTGGACATATTTTAAATGTCTGACTGACTCCTGGACACTGGCTGGACACTGACAACTGGCTAGGAGCCTGCATACACCATGACCCTGTTGTTATGATAGCATACAGCTTTAGAAAGTGAACACTCTCAAAGACCAAGACATAGCTTTTGATTGGAAAGCATCCAGTGACTTTGGAATGAGGAGGAGGTGGTAGAAGTTGGCGAAGTTAGTCAAAGCCATGGGAAAGACTGAATGCAGGTGTATTCATCCATTTTCACACTGCTATGAAGAAATACCTGGCTGGGCGCAGTGGCTCACGCCTGTAATCCCAACACTTTGGGAAGCCGAGGCGGGTGGATCATCTGAGGTCAGGAGATTGAGACCATCCTGGTGAAAACCCATCTCTACTAAAATTACAAAATTATAAAAAATTAGTCGGGCATGGTGGTGCATGCCTGTAGCTACTCAGGAGGCTGAGGCAGGAGAATCGCTTGAACCGGGAGGCAGAGATTGCAGTGAGCCAAGATCGCGCCACTGCACTCCAGCCTGGGCAACGGAGTGTTACTCTATCTCAAAAAAAATAAAAAGAGAAAAGAAATCTCCAAGACTGGGTAATTTATAAAGGAAAGAGGTTTAATTGACTCAGTTCCACATGGCTGGGGAAGCCTCAGGAAACTTACAGTCGTGGCAAAAGGTAAAAGCGAAGCAAGCACCTTCTTTACAAGGTGGCAGGAAAGAGACAGAATGAAGGAACAGCCAAACAAAACCATCAGATCTGGTAAGAACTCACTCACTATCATGAGGACAGTCTGGGGGAAACCACCCCCATGATCCAACCACCTCCCATCAGGTCCCTTCCTTGACACATGGGAATTACAATTCAAAATGAGGTTTGAATGGGGACACAAAGCCAAACCATATCAGTAGGAGAAAAGCCCCCCCAAAAAAATGCTTTAAAAAGTGTGAGACAGTGGCTGGGTGCAGTGGCTCAAGCCTCTAATCCCAGTGCCTTGGGAGGCCAAAGCAGGAAGACTGCTTGAGGCCAGGAGTTCAAGACCAGACTGGGCAGTATAGTGAGACTCTGTTTCTTTTCTTTTCTTTTTGCCATATTTTTTTTTTTTTTTTTGAGACAGAGTCTCACTCTATCACCCAGCCTGGAGTGCAGTGGTGGGATCTTGGCTCACTGAAACCTCTGCCTTCCATGTTCAAGCGATTCTCCCACCTCAGCCTCCCGAGGAGCTGGGATTACAGGTATGCACCATCACACCCGGCTAATTTTTGTATTTTTAATAGAAACGGGGTTTCACCATGTTGGCCAGTCTGGTCTCAACCTCCTGGCCTCAGGTGATCCACCTGCCTCGGCCTCTCAAAGTGCTGGGATTACAGGTGTGAGCCACTGCGCCTGGCTGAGACCTCATTTTTTAAAAAAATTTGCTGGGCAGTGGTGTGAGCCCATAGTCCCAGCTACTTGGGAAACTGAGATAGAAGGATCATTGAGCCTAGGAGGTTGAGACCCTGTGAGGCTCAAGTGAGCTATGATTGTACCACTGCACCCCAGCCTGGGTGACTGAGACCCTGTCTCAAAAAATATATATAAATAGCATGTGCTACTTTTGCA